TGGACTTCAAGGAATTACCTCTTTCTTGCACGTCGCCCCAATTTTTCTTAAATCTAAACGAAAACCATAACAAAACGTAACTACTTAGCCTAATCTATAATACTAAAGTTTTTAAATTTAATTAGTCCTTTTTGTTTCTTCGGAATCAACAATATTATTTATTTAGCTTTCGGTATTTGTTTAAATCGGGGTTGAATATAAGTTTTTTAAGCTTAATGTGGTCGGTGTTGTAACGTTTATTTTAGAATCAATCGATAATTTAAATAGTTTTTCACTTTATTTATTATTAATGATCGGCCCTCGTGCCGATCACCGAAGCCAAGCTCATACCTAGAGTAATCCGAAGTCACACACTTTTCTACCACTAAATAACGAACGTTTGTTTGTTTGGAAGGTTCAGTTCCAATATTACAGCAGGAGCGGGCCCACATTAATATAGTAAGAGTAATTCCAACATTATTCTTCCCTCCAGATTTGCGGATGGGGCAGCCCCAATGTGTCGATGTTATGTGGAAACAGTGTACGAGCATCAGAGTTCTTCAACACATAAGTATCCCAAAATACAAAAAAAAAGCAATAACTAGTTTGATAGACGGGACATTTTCAAAGACAATTCAAAATAACTTTTACAACATCATTACACCTTATTAACATTATTTATCAAAGTTCCCAAAAGGGTTACAATATTTATTATGACTCCTTAATTTAACAATAAAATGGAAGGAAGGAGAAAAAAACTAAAAATGAATTTTTATGGAGATTGGCAGAAGAGAATGAAGAAAACAAAAAAAAATCATATTAGTGGATAAACTTTCTCCCGTATTCATCCACTAATCCTCTCCATCCTGGTTTAAACCGCACTGGTATTAAACCACTTAAAATACCAGCGGTTGGCCCTAGCTCTGTTCAAAGAGACCACAGCCTGACTAGAGCTGGTAATTTGACATCCCCCATAGGCCACAATACATAAAGAAATTTTGCTACGGGGGATTATCAAATAATTCCACCCCGTAGTTGAGTGATGCCCCGCGTGCGTGTCAGTAATTTAAAAACATTTAAAAACTACTCCATATTGGCACGGCCTCCTTTTCTTTAGCCTCCCGATAGGAAGTCAGTGTTTGGCTTAAATCGTTGCAATCTGTAATTACTTCCTTAGGAGCAGTTGACGAATTACCATGTACAGTGAAAGCTCTAATAAGCCGACAGTGACGGTTCCGTTACTTTTGTCCGCTTATCAGAGATGTCCACTTATGAGAAAAGACTACTCAAATTAAAGTACATACACATATATGTATTATTTTGATCAGTTTTCGAAAATTTCGCTTTAATAAACCAACTTTTTTTTTATATTTTAATTTTTTTTTATTAAAAACGAACGGTCATACATAAAAAAGGTAAACTTAAAACTAAAACTATTTATTTGTCGTTTGAATAAAATCTAGCATACTGCTTTGCCGCAATGAAGTTTCTCTTTGTAATAAGAGAGAACGTTCAATATGTGTTTCTAAATTTTTCACATGTTGAAATGCAGTAAAATCATTTTTCACGAATGATTTTAGTTTGGAAATTACATTCAATGCTTCTTTATAAGATGTGATTGGATTACGTTCCTCCGATGATTGGACTACCGAAAATTCCAAGTCATTATCTTCTATATCGACGTTTTGATCAACAGTTAAATATTCTTCTGCTGTTTTTACATTATCTATTCCCAGTCTTTTACTACATTTAAACAAATCAGCTAGTCTCGCAAGTGGCAAATTATCTTCAACGTCGTAGTTACTGTCAGTTGAACTTCCTTGATCCATCAGAAATCCAGCTTTTTTAAAACAATTTCTAATTGTCTAGATTTTATAAAGTACAAGCTCTCTAATATGTCAATAGATTTTGATAATTTAGAAGCCGATTCTGCGAAATCTATTCTTGATAATAGGTGACTCACTATTAAATCGCGATAATAAAATTTAAAATTGCGTATGATACCCTGATCTAACGGCTGGCAGACAGATGTTGCATTAGGAGGTAAAAAATAATTTTTATATTTTTTAATTTTAAGTCATGTGGATGTGAAGTGGCATTATCAAGAAATAAAATGATTTTTCTTTTTTTTATACCCATGTTTTTATCGAAATTACTTAACCACTCCGTCATAATGTCTCGTGTCATCCATGCTTTTTTGTTTGATTTCCAGATAGCCGGTAAATCCTTGGGAGCAACATTTTTTAATGCTCGGGGACGTGCCGACTTTCCAATAACTAGCAACTCCTCTTTTTCACCTACACTATTTACACAGAACAAAACGGTTAATCGTTCTTTGGACAGTTTTCCTCCTGTGCATTTTTCCGACTTTAAAGCTAAAGTTTTATTTGGTAATGCACGAAAAAAGAGCCCACTTTCATCTGCGTTAAAAATGTCCTCTGGTCGATAGCCTAGTAAGAAGGTCGGTAATTTTTTCATAAATTCATTAATGCCCTCTTCATTTACATCTGCTGCTTCTCCGGAGATACACTTAAATGCAACATTATTTCTCAAACGCCACTTTTGTAACCACCCATCAGACGCTTTAAAGGTACTCACTCCTAATTTTTCTGCAATTTCTTTTGCTTTTTTCTTTACGAATGATCCTGATACGGCAATATTTTGATTTTTAGCTTTCACAAACCATTCGAAACAGGCTTTGTCGATCTTTGAACCCTCACTACTCAAAAAGTTTTTCTTCGTTTTTACACTGACTCCAGACTGCCATTTCTTTCGAATCTTTTCTTTATCTTTGACTATTTTTGCCGCTTGTGTTTTCCCGATTTTAAATTTTTTAGCAATATCACGAACTGACAACTTTTCTTTATCTAATAAACACACTATTTCCATTTTCTCCATTAACATAAGCATCTTTTTCTTTACCACCTTGGAAGCCATTTCAACGCACGTTACACCGAAACGAACAAACTAATAATAACTATGTACTAATGTTTTGGGATTCGTTAACAAGCGGAACTCAACTCGTAAAACGAGGAATCCCCGAACACATGTCGGTAAATATCTATTACAGATTACTTTGATGTGTGCGTTTAGTTACCTACGCGTTCGTTTATTAGAAATTTTTGCCCGTTATGTAAAGAAAAATAGTGTCCGCGTCCGGTTATTAGAGCGTCCGTTTATGGGAAATAAATATGTACATGAAAATATAGGTTTGGGGTTGGTTCCAAGATTTTTGTCCGCTTATAAGAGATGTCCGCTTATTAGAGCTGTCCGCAAGGAGAGCTTTCACTGTAATAAAATATTAAAAGTATCTAATGACGGTTCAACCTGTGAAGTCTTAATTACTTCTCTATAAATAGGTTGTTCAAAATACTTTTTCAGTTTATCTACATGTATTACTAGATCACTTCTCTTTCCTAATTTTATAATTTACTGGGCCCTTTTGTTCTAAAATTCGAAAAGGTCCTTCCCAAGGTTTTGCTAATTTTTTGCTAATAACTTGTTTCACTATTGAATTATAAAAATATACTAAATCACCTATTTTAAAACTTTTTTCTTTAGTGTTATTATTAAATTGTTTATGAACTTTATCGGTGTTTTGATCTAACAATAAGATAATCTAATTCGCAAAAATTTATTGCAGTTTTATTGTTCTCGAAAAAACTGTGTGTTTGTGTTCGTTTGGTGGGACTGATTTCCTTCTTGTTGTCCATCACCAACATTAACTGTGTTTATAGTTCCTCTACGTTGACCTCGATTGTTATTAAATCTACCTCTGTAATTAGTCTGACTGTTATTAAAACTTCTACATCGATTATAATGAGCCCTCTGACTGTTACCCCTCTGATTTTAGACTGATTCGTTATTAGACTGATTATTTTGATATCGTCTATCAGCAGAATTCGCGTAATTACGTGAACTAAGATATCTCTGTCTACCTCTATTAGATCTCGAGAATGCCATCAATAACTTGTGGTTGATTATGAACACACATTTCTTCATCATGTGCTCCTCGGATCGCATCCTTAAGGGATTCATAATTTCTAGAGGCAATAATTGTACTTGATCTGCTATTTCTAAGTCCGTCAGCGAACCGTTTGATGGCTAATTTTTCGTTAACTGGTTTTAACACTAAATGATTGATCATTGCCGTCTACCTGTGAAATTGTTAAATGGACAAAAAGTCTTTCCAATTCCTGGCCAAAATCAGCAATTTATTTTTCATTTTGTCAATTTAATTTGTATTGAAGTATCTGACTTTTTTGTCAGTAAATGTTTTCGCATATCGCTAACAAAACCCGTAATTGTGGCATACTCTGAATTTAACCTCATCTTTGCCGACTGAGATAAACGCGCTTTTAGAATAACATTTATTAAATGCCGCTTACCGCCATCATCAAGCATAGCTTCGTAAAATAAAATCGGATCTATGGAGACTAATTGCGACTTTCAAATCGAAATTTGACATATTGATCTCTTCCTTAGTGGTTAAACTAATTAATTCACAATAAATAGTATCTACTTTAATTTAATAACTAACTTCTCAATAATCTCTAAGTCGTTACCATTTCTACTCATTCTTTAATCCAGTAAAGTCTACTTACACTAAATTTGCTTCCCTTCTTTTCTTAACTAATTTTTTTCGTCTACCACTTCCTAATTTTATTAAATATTGTGGTGTTTTACTTGTGTGTTTTTACACAAGTTATTAAACTATAAATTTGGGTTTCTTTAATTTTAAGAGACTCTTATTAAACTCAGGGTTTCGGGCAAGTTCAGGTTCAAAAAGAAAATTAATCAGGTTCGACAAAAATTCATTTAATTAAACAAAATCAAATTAACTCGTTTTATGAGTAACAAAAAAAAATTGTTTTTCTAAATTTACTTTAATAACAATGCTTATTTACGAAGATAACTTTTAAATAAAATAGATAACTGCGGTTATCGACTGAAATATCGATATTACAGAGAACCCGTTTATTATTTGAGAGAGAGAGAGTAGGATAAAACTCGCTAGAACCGTTCTTTGAAAATAACAAATGGCCGACGTCTTAAGTTGTCATCAAACTCGTTGAAGAAAAATAGAGTTAAATAAATGAACGTTATTCAAGAAAACTAATAAATCTTTACCCACAAGTAAGTATTGATCAAAATTATAGGAAACTCTTGTGAGTTGTTCTTTGAGTTTGATTCTTTGATTTTTCTTTTTGTAGGTTATGTTAAATAATAAAATAAAATTATCATCCGACTCACTGTGAAAAAGAAAGGATTGGAGTTCAATGTGGTATCTGGATTATGGATTGTCTCTTGTGTTCGGGGCACTAACTAATTTTCTGGATTGTCTACAGGATTCTTCTTACGGGAAATTGAACTGTTTGTTCTTCGGAAATAGGGTCTTGGATGATCTCGAAGAAGTATCGGTAGTTCTTGGAATAGGTTGTAGGATGATTCTCTTTTTATTTTAATATTGTAAGTTGATTTGACTTTTTTTTAAAAAATTATCTTAAATTTTTGAGGTTATCTCTTCAAAAATTCTTCTATCTGACGACGTGGATTCGACGCTGGTCCGACGACGACTCTCTCACTCCCTGTTCGCGATCTCCTTATATACCCCGGCACTCCAACTGTTTTTTCCTCGTTTCTGATTGGCTCTTAGCTTCGCGCCCTTTTCAAAATTCAAAATTCTTGCTTCGAAACTAGCGTCATCTCTTGATTTTTCTCGGAATTAACCTTCAAAATTAAATTCTTTTTTCGTTGATTTCTCCCTTATTCCTTTATGAAACGTAATAAAACTTCGTATTCAACGTTGTCTTTTCTTGTTTTCTGACATATATTGGAGTACACGCCAAATTTCAACAATGAGTAAAGTTAGAAAAATTCAAATTTAAATCAAGGATTTCTTCCTCAAAATAACGTTAAAACCTCAAAAGATGGATGAAAAATGTACTTTAGGAGCTGAACTATAATAATTGATACTTTTGGAAGCAAACAAAACGGTTTAAGATAAGATTTTCACCAACAAAAAATCTCTCTGTCACAATTTCTAGGTTATGTTCTCTCGGTGAACTAAGAATGTTAAAATTATCACCATATGTTCTTATCTCTATAAATTTATTATAACATTCTTCAAATGTAGTCATCAATAACATTATTTCTTTTATTCATTTATTTTATTTAATTTTTTGTTTACGTATGCATTGGAATCAATTTGAAACTTGGTTTTATTTATTCGTCATCAATTTTACTGCAGTTCTTCACCTGACCTACATAAACCATTTCACTTCGGGATTTTGCAAGTTCGTGGCGAGTAATTTCCTGTTGCATCATTTTTTGGATATAATTTTTAATTTTTCGCACTACAAAATATATTAAAAATAAAGCTAAAACAACTGACCTTATTATCAAAACTAAATCTGAAGATGTCCAATTGTTGGTTACTGCATTCACTGCTACTGATTGATTGATTATAATTTCTTTCTTAGCCTCTTTTGATACCCCATCTTCTCTTTATTCTTATAATTTCCTGATGGTGTTGTTGTGCTCCTATCCAGCACAGAATGGGTTCTTGAGTTGGTGTCCGCAAATAAAACTCAGAGTGACCTTTTCTTGTATTTTATTGGTAATTATAATGAACAACGATGACACAGACGATGATTTTGCGGACGATGTGATTAAAATTATATGAAGACGGACGACGGATGATCGGAAGATGATTAAAGAACGATGATAAAGTATAACTTATTCACTAATTAATTAACACGTTGATGTGGCTTTTCTTATTTTACGACGATCAAGACGAGAAACAAAAGAATGTCCCCGAAACTAGCGCTCGCTCTCTATTTCTGCTCTCGGTACGCCTACACAGTTTTATTACTTACCTTCTACTTCAATGGTCACGTACAGTTCGACCCGAGTGACTTTGTCACAAGCTTTCTTTGTTTAATACTAATACGTTAGCACATTCTTACATTATCTACGTGAGAAAATAATATAAAATATAAAGGAGAAATACAGGGGTTATAACAGTGTTTTATAATATATCTTCAAGGATAAATTTTTATTTTAAATTTATATTTTTCTTCCATTTTCCATTCGTTCGATTTGCAGGATCGCCATGTAAAGGTTGGGTCTTCTTATATTAAAATACTGTTTTAAAGGTGTTCTACATAATAATTTATTCAACTGCATACGTCGACTGTCTCACATATTCTATCTGTTATTACTTAATACTAACTAATATCTAATTCTAATATCCCCAATTAATACAATACTAGCATGTTGGGCATTGCATAATTTTTTGCGAAAGACATCTAACAATAATTATATAAATGAAAAATTTATTGACCGTGAACGTTTTAACAATGGTACAATAATACCGGGACAATGGAGACAACAAACTGGTAGTGGTCTAACCCATTTGGAAAAAAACAAAGATGAAAAACGCTACTTTTGTTACAAAGAATTTAAGAGAAATTTATAAAAAATATTTTAATACTGTTGGTAGTGTTTTTTTTTTCAAGACCGATAGTAAAATAATAAATAGATAAATGTTATTGTAACAATTCATGCAGTATACAGTGTGCACCCATTCGACCTGCGGATAGACGCATTAGCAACAGTTGGGCGATTGTAAGTGGGCGCACGTTCGCTCTCTCAGATATATCGAAAGCTTTAAAGGTTTGAGAACGGGTGGTTTTTGTTAAGGTCGTTTTATCAACGGTTTTCACTAACAAAAAAAATGTAATAAAGAAGGTTTTATTCTTTACATATTTTTTTAATTAAAAAGAAATAAATCCCTCGAACACTGTACTAGCAATTTTCTTAGTTATGAAGCATCAGATCATGTCACTGCAAAAAATTTTATAGCAACAAATTTTCATCACAACTTCATACTAATAAAGAAAAACATGAAAAGCCGAAATGAAAAAAATAACTGCTCATTTATTTAATAAATGCTCAAATAATCCACCCTCTTGAGCTGAACAATAACCCAACCGGTTGTAAAAGTTCTGTCGGACGTTAGCAAATACATCCGGTGTAATTGTATTGCTTATTTCAATAATTTTTGCTTGTAACTCCTCTAAATTTGCTGGACGGTCATCTCCATATCCGTAAATCAAATTATTTAAAAAGGGCCACAAAAAATAATCGTTGGGGGCTAAATCAGGGGATCGTGCTGGCCATTTAATAGGACCTGAATTACCTATCCACTTATTTTGAAAAGTCATATTTAAAAAATTTGCCACGTTACGGGTATTATGAACCGGACAGCCATCTTGCTGAAACCAGAGATTATTAATATCATAACGTTCCTGAATTGCAGGAAGAACATTGTTCTGCAATAAGTCTAGATATTTGTTGCCGTTTAAATTTCCATTTATGAAAAAGGGCCCGATTATTTCATTTCCAATAATTCCTGCCCATACATTTAATTTTTGAGGGTATTGTGTTCTCGTGGGAACATTCAAATGGAGGTTTTCACGGAACCAATACCGGCAAGTTCTTAATTTTAAAATTTCTGCTAAATTTCAGAATTTCTATCGAACTAAGAATCCTAGAAATTTCATTTTTTTTTCAAAATTGGTGTCAATTAGTCATTTATGATCTCAAAAACTTCATTTTTTACTTCGAAATTCCTACTTGCGGTTTAAAAAAAAATTTCAAAGTTAATCATGTAATTTTAGGTTTGGGTGACTATAAGAATTTTTATCAAAGCTACGAAGAATGCTAGAAACTTTGATTTTTTGTTAAAATAAAAATTTATTTTCTTTACAACCTCTAAAAATTTCATTTTTAAAAAAAATTGAAAAGATAAATTTCCAACTTGTATGAAATCGCTTTGTACCGCCCTCCGTGCAAGTAACACGGCTAGAACGGTGCGGTTGATTACGTCTGTCTTCGTCGTACTTCGAGGTTCGTGTGGTTATTGCGACCTGCGGATAGGGCTTTTCAATGTGTTAGACAAGGCATCGAATTGCATACGATTTTAATGAGTTAGATAAAGAGACACGTATCAACTCCAATCGGCCAGATAAGGAAACGTAGTATATCTGTCCTGTGTTAACTAATAGAAGATTTATTGTCGTCCTTTTTCCACTTACGTTAAACGTATCCGCAGCTCACCGGCGTGCACTCTGCATGTGGTAATAATGTGTGCCAAGCTGACGATGCACAACATTCAGTTGTTATTTCCCAATCACTTTATAACATCCGCATTATGATGTTGTGATGATCTCTATTTATTGACGGGTCTTTACGACTTGGTAGGAGGATCCAATAATTATAGATATATATCTATTTATCATATCTATATCCTTATAATATTTCTATCTTTGTACCATTTCATATGGGGTATATTTTCTATATTTATTATATTTAGATCTTTATTATATATTATATTATACTATCTCTATCTCAAAACACCATCATTTTTCTTCTAACGGGTTTATAAGTCATACCCTTTTTACCTCCAAATAATGTTATTAATATCTATTTAGAAGGGTAATCTTCTTGGTGGAGATATTTGTCGGACGACCATACCTCATTGAACCTATAGGCTTTCGTGAGCAGTAACCCATTATTGGAGCAGGGTAAAAGGTATTGTCTTTCGATGACCATACCTCATTGAACGTATCGGCTCTCTTGAGCTGTACCCCATTATTGGAGCAGGATAAAAGGTGCTGCCACCAGGCAAGTTACGTACTTGGCCGAACGGTTTAAGAAGTTAATGAGTAAAAGGAGGCAGGATCGTAGCCCTTGTGTTGAAATTGAAATAATAGGAAACAAGAATTTATATAAAAAAATATTAATATATTAAATTAAGAAAAATAAAATATATAAAAAAATAATACAACCAAAAAATTAAGTTAAAATATTAAAGAAGAAAAAAAACTAATTGAACAAATTTTGGAATACGGAACGTCAATTTCGGATACAATTTATACTAGCCATAATCATGAACTCCAAGAACAATCTTAATTGATTTTACTTACTGTTTCTACGCCACAACGATGGTCTTCTAGCAGGATTCGGACGCTTCAGGAGCTGGCTTCAAGGCACAATCTCGAAAGGGGGATTTGATTTGTCGGGCATATCACCCAGGACAAACCACCAGCGTATTTAGAAGCTTTTTCCGAATTTAGTATTGAGAATTTAAATTAAATTAAAAAAATGGAGCGAACTCAAGGGGAAGACTGTAGCTTCTATATACCTTGGTAGTTGGTACTCGACTCCTCGAGTCGAACTCGGTGGCGCATCAACGCCTCACGCGATAAAGCTGACTTAAGCAAAATAATTATACAAAACGCAATTTAATATACAGGGCGGTTTGTTACATCACCCCCTTCCTTAGAAAAGAATGCGTGCCTTGAGGTGCCATTCCTTTTGCGTTAACACTTTCCACCAGTAGGTAATAAGATAAAAATATTACCAGTAACAGTTTATAATAAAAGTTAAAAGATAATAATAATTAATTATTGAACAGTTTACAGCAATGAAGACAATGGGATTATATTACTTAGCTTTTTATGATACACGTTGAGGAAGTCCCTTCGTAATTGTTTATACTGTTTCCCTGGATATTCCTCTTCTTACCACACGTCGTTTTATATGTTGTGTGTACGCCTTGAATACTTTAATAACGAAGCTAATAACCATCATGACGAATAGAATGTAGAACATGATGGTGAAGTCGTTTGATATCGATAGATGTGATTCTTGTACCACAAAATTCGCATTGGCGGTTCCATTCTCGACAATGTCCTGATTGGGGCGAATATCTTTTGACTGAGATTTCCCCAT